ACATATATATATATATATATATATATATATATATATGTATGTATGAAACATTGAAATATGTATACATTATATGGTTGTCATACCTTAATAGATATGAAAGGGAAATGAATTGATGGATGAATGAATGAACGAACGAACGAACGAATGAATGAATGTTTGACTGATGGACAGTTTATTTTATTTAACTAATTTCAAATAATTTGATTTAAAATTTAAATAAAATTTAATTAATTAAAATTAAACGCCTTAATTGATTAAATAATAATAATAATTAAAAATCATTTATTTTCTATTCTTAAAACAGAACTATTTGTCACTGAACCCATATTGGCAGGTCTGATTTGTATAGGAAAAAAATCACCCAACATTATTTTTTCAACTTACCTTATCAAAAAGTTCACCCAAAAACAAAATCATTCACTCAAATAGCAGACAAATCCTGAATTTTCATCAATACTAAAGCCAAAAATGGATTCGCACGCCGTAAAAAGCCAGCAAAACGTTGCGGTACATACGATCAGTTTTAGGGGCAAGGCAGGGGCCATCTTCGTACTCCTCTTCTTCACCTTTGCCCTTTTTCTTGTGGGGTTCATCACCCCAAGATGGTCAAAAATTGATGACACCTATTTGGGAATCTGGGAAAATTGTACCTGTCTTCCGCACAACTATGCTGGAGATGGTGAGTGTGTTACCTGGCTGGCTGGTTGATTGGTTGGTAAGTTGTATGGTTGATTGGTTGGTTGGTAAGTTGGATGGTTGGTTGGATGGCTAGTTGATTGGTTGGTTATCTGGTTAGTTTGAATAGTTGGTTGAATAGTTGGTTAGATGATTGGTTGGTTAGATGATTGAATGGCTGATTGGTTGGTTGGATGATTTGTCGAATGCGTGTGTATAGTTATTTAACTGTCACACAATCATCATGATCACACAATCATCATGATCATCATCTCATTACTTTCACCACCATCAACTCACCATTCGAAACCATCCCAGCCCAACTGATAGCGATAAACAGTCTGCTGGCAGCCTCTTTCCTTTTCCTCCTCATCTCCCTACTCCTAATCACCATCTACATGTGCGTGCACACAGTCAGCAAGAACTCCACCATCATCTCCCTCGTCTTCTTCATCTTTTTCTCCTGTTAGTATTTCATTTTGTTGTTGTTATTATTATTATTACAATATTACTATTATTATTATTATTATTAATAATAATATTATCATTATTATTGTTTTTGTTATTATTACTGTTGTTGTGATTGTTATTAATTTTTGTTATTAGTATTGTTGTTTTAGTATTGTTGTTGTTGTTATTACTATTATTGATGTTTTTTTAATATTGTTAAGGTTATTATTATTATTATTATTATTATTATTATTATTATTATTATGCTACATGGGAATCTTGCATATTGAAAATTCCTCTGAATTCAAACATCTCAAATGACATTCTTCCACATGTATTAACGTACATATACAACAAACATCATATACGCGCACATGCATAAACATATAAACACACACCTTACACACACACCTTACACACACACACACACACACACACACACACACACACACACACACACACACACACACACACACAAGCCGTGCCAACACAACACTGTAAAATGAAATAAAGTTCAATACAAAACAATGCAATAAAACACATCTCTGTTTGATCCTAACAAAAATGAAATGTACACACACACACACACACACGCACATGTTCAAAACGTACTCGTACATGTACAAAAACGTACACACATTTATTAGTACACACTTACATAAATTTACTAACCATCAAAAATCTGCTTAACCGTATAAAAATAAAATAATTTTACACACAGAACAAACATATATATATAAATATAAACAGACACAGACATCCACACACACATACACACACACACACACGTATATATATATATATATACAGAAACATACACACATACAGAAACATACATACGTACGTAGACACACTTAAAGATAGAAGTACCGATGGAAAAATTGAATTGAGGGATTTTTTTTGAAAAAAGGCGCAAAAAGTTTTGAAAATTTCCTACACGACTCCGAATAAATTTGTATTTATGTTAATCAGGTACGCGTTCAGACACACACACACACACACACACACACACACACACACACACACACATATATATATATATATTCTTTACTCCGTTCATTACAATTGTTTTTTATTTCCTCTCGGTTTTATCTTTCTCTATTTTATCTTCATCTCTTTCTTCCCTCTCTCTTTCGCTTTCTTTCTCTTTCTTTTTCTCTCTTTCATTTTATATGTTCCGCTCTCTCATTGTTCTCCTCGCTTGCTCTCTTTTCCAATTTCTCCCTCCTTCCCATTCTTTCTTCAATATCTTTATTATTCTACCCTTCTTATTTTATTCTATTTTTTGCCTACTCTCTCTCTCTCTCTCTCTCTCTCTTTCTCTCTCTCTATCTATCTATCTTTTTCTCTTTTTCTCTCCCTTTCTTTCTCATTCTCCCTCTCAAATATTTTTAAAGGGTGTTTCTTTTCAGCTGACAACAAACTTTGCACGTTGATCGATTTTCAAGATAGCTCGTTTTATAGCTAAATAGAGAGAGAGAGAGAGAGAGAGAGAGAGAGAAAAGAGAGAGAGAGCGAGAGAAAAAGTAAGTGAAATAGAGAGAATGAAAAAAGAGAAAAAAAAGAGAGAGAGACAAATAGAGAAAGAAAGAAAGAAGGATGGATGCGTTGTTTTTGTAGTTTATTTTTATCGTCATTGTTAATCTTTCTATAGGAGTTTTTTTGTATATGCTGCTTCTGATATTAATGTTAATTATATATTTATATATTATATATATATATATATATATATATATATATATATATATATATATACACATCCATATATATTTGTATAAACATACCCATAAATATTTGTATATGGGTATATGTGTAATGATTTGTATCGGCAAAAACTTAATAGTAATTAGTTCTGGTTTGACTAACGATGAAAGCAACCAGTCATAATCATATCATCATCTCCATCTTCTCTGCGTGGTCTGTGGTCTCACTGGTTGTCTGGCTGGTTGTCTGACTGGCTGGCTGGTTGGTTGGCTGGTTGGCTGGCTGGTTGTCTGGCTGGTTGACTGGCTGCCGGTTCACCGGTTCATATGCCACTCTTGACTTTTCAAGGTTTTTGTCGGAGATCATTTGTGAAAGGATATCCAGATAGAAAGAGAGTAAGTGAAAGAGAAAAAACGAATGAGAGAAAAATAGAATGAATAATAAAAGAAAGAAGGAGAAAAAAGAGAGAAAGCTTGAAAAAATTAAGAAAAAGTTAGGCGAAAATTTTAAAAAATGTTGAAAATTAAAAATATAAAAGAAGAGAACAAAATAGAAGAATGAGTATTAACTATAAGGTGCAAGAACATTAGATGCACACACACACGCACACGCACACACACCACATGTACATACAACCAAACACACACACACACACCACACATCCAACACATGCACTAATTTAAATCACTTAAACAGATTTAGAATAACAAGAGTCGGGTTGATATATTCGGTAAAAATATTTGTAGTATTGGGCAAATAATTTCTCCTCTTTCAGTTAAGAATGATGTGAAAAGGAAAGTTACATGCATATTCATTCGTTCGTTCATTCATTCATTCATTTATTCATTCATTCATTCATTCATTTATTCATTCGATCGTTCATTCATTCATTCAAGCATATTTATCCAACGTAGAAAAAAAATGTTTGTGCGTGTGTATGTATACTTACACGTGATAGTATGTACGTCTGTGTGTGTGTGTGTGTGTGTGTGTGTGGTGTGTGTTAGCTGTTGTGTGTACGTGATGTTGATGTTACACATGTGCGTGCGTGCACAGCACATAAACAATAACGTTAACAGCCTATAAAACATTCTAAAGCTTCTGTGCAGTAGATCGCGCTATGGGACTAACAATTCCTTTATTTTCATATTTTAATTGAGTCAATTAGTTCTTATATTGAGTTAGTTGATGAGTTGTTGTGGTCTAATTAGTAGTTGTTTTCCTTCAATTATTCAATTATTACTAATTATTCTGTGGAGTTTTTGTGAGGGTTGAAAAAGATCATTTTCCAAGTTGTTTCATCTTTAATGGTCTTTCATTGCTTCGGTTAACATTTTTAATTAAATTTGTTTACATGAACTGCGGTAAGTTGAAACCAATTTTCAAACTTTAAGAAAAATGGAAAAGAATTAAGGAAAAAAAATAAAAGAAAACAACTATTTGATAAAAACGAGAAAGAACAAGATAGAGAGAAAGAAGGAGAAAGAGAATAGAATAATAAGAAAAGAGAGATGGAAAGTGAAAGAAAGAAAGATAAGAAAAGAAGGAATGAAGTTTTACATGATTCGAGTGCAGGCACAGGCACTAGAAACCTCGTAATGGTACTTCAAATAACAAGGTGAGATAAGATAGTATATGAGATATAAACAGAATAAAATGAAATGTAACAAGACAAAAATAGAATAAAATAACATTGGGTATAAAAATAAATTGCTCTGAGCCTTGCTTAGAAATGTGAGGGAATGACCTAACTGTGGTAATATATGTGATGGTACATGAGTGTGTGTGCTTGTGTGTATGTGTGTATGTGTCTGTGTGTCTGTGTGTCCGTGGGTACGTTCGTTTGTATTCGATGGTGTACGGTTAAGTGTGAACAAATGCTTTTTTGTCGAAAGGTGTTTGTAGATTTATATTTATGCATTTTAAAAGAAATGGTGAAACAAAGTAAAGAGTTAGAGAGAGAGAGATAGAGAGAGAGAGAGAGAGAGAGAGAGAGAGAGAGAGAGAGAGAGAGAGAGGAAAAAGATAGAGAAAAGAGAAACAACAAAGAAGCAGTTGGAGAAAGGAAGGCAAGAAAGTGAAAAAGAGAAGGAGAAAAAGAGAGAGAGAGAGAGAGAAGAGGGATAAAAAAAAACGAATTGAAACATTTGCGGCTAAACGTACTTTGTGTAGATGTACGTAGGCATCAATTTGTTGAGGTTTTTATAGATGTGTGTGTATGTTTGTGTGTTTGCGAGTGTGCGTGTGTGTGTGTTTGTATGTGTGAAAATGTGTTGACTATATATACGTATTCATATTTTATATAAATTTATTTGTATGGATAGTTCTTGTATGTTTATTTTGTATCTTTCAACATTTTTCTTTATCTATGTCTGAGTTTGTATATAGGTATGAGTATTTTATTATTTTTGTCTGCGAGTGTATGTGTAGGTATGTTTGTTTGTATGTGCGTGTGTGTGTATGAGTGTGCGTGTGTGCTTGTACAAATGTCTGTCTGTTCTCATTGATCTTTAGTTGAATCTTTTTTTTAGGTTATGTTTTGTTTGATGTAGATAAAGCATCCACATAAACCATGAACCATGCTGGTATATAATACAGTTTTTTATAGATTAGCAAAAATATTTATAAAAATTACAAAGGTAAAAATATGAAAATATTAGTTATATGTTCTTTCTTTCTCTCTCTCTCTCTCTCTTTCTATCTTTCTCTCCCTTTGTCTCTCTTTCTCTCTCCCTCTCCCTCATTTTTTCATTTCTGTTGTTTTTATTTTTTCTCTGTTTGTATCATTTTTTCATAGTTCAAATGTACATCAATATCGAGTATATACATATTTAAACTCTCACACACACACCCAAACACACACACACATATAAACACACACACACAAACACTTCACACACACACACATATAAACAAACACACAATCAATCACACAAAAACACTCCACACACACACCACACACACACACACACACAAACACTTTTCACACCCAAACACGCAATCACACAAACACACAAAAACACACAAACAAACACTCCACACACTCAATCACACACACACACGCGCAAACACACACACGCAAACACACATACACACACAAAAACACTCCACACAAACACACTCCCACACAGTTATATTCAATCTGGTCGGTTACATACTGTACGCTGTTCTCCAGAAGAAAGAAACTCACACGCTCTTCTGGTCATTTGGCCTGGTAGTGGCCAGCTCAGTCTTCTGTCTCCTAGCTGGCATCGTGTCCATTGTACAGTTAAAGAGTTCAGGGGTCAGATTGTAAAAGGTCAAGTTGTTTTATTGAGTTCAAGGTCGGATTGTAAGGGGGTTAAGTTTGTGGAGATGTTAATTAATGGTGATGGGTTGTTTGTGAAGTTTGTTGGGTGTCTGTGGCTGGGCGGTTTGGGTTTGATGGTCTGTTTGAAGTGAATGAGGTTCAGTGAGGTGATTGTATGATGTTCTCTCTGTGGTTTTTTGACGTGTTTTCTGTTTTGTTTTTCAAGATTAATATGAAATAAAAGTTTAAATTGTTAATATTATTGTTGTCATTTTTATTAATATGCCAATAACGAGATATTAGTTAAATAAACAGATGGATGAATAGAAGGATGGATAAATGGAGGAATAGAACGATAGCTAGATGGATAGCTAAATGGATGGATGAATGGATAAGATAAATGTTATATGTGCATATACGGCATGTTTAATTTTTCAATTTAAATTTCTTTTTGAGGATTCTTACAAACTGAATAGTAGCTTAAGTGACACTAATAAACTGATTTAGATTAAACTGCTAAGCTTAAGAAAAGAAAGACTATTTAAGACAAGATCGTACGAGACCATTGGAAGAATTATACAAGAATCTTCAATAAGAAATTGAAATATGCATGTGTATGTATGTGTATGTGCGTGTGTATGTATGTGAATGTATGTGTTTATGTATGTGTGTATATATATATATATATATGTATGTGTGTTTGTATGTATGTGTGTGAGTGGTTTGTGTGTGAGTGTGTTGTGTGTGTGTGTGTGCGTGCAATGTGTGAAGCATAAGTAATTTATTGCTTTCAATTCAAGAGTTGAAATATTAAACAATAATAAGGCTTGTTATCGTGGCATGGCTTACATCTGCACTGCTGTTCATTAAATCTTGTTATGTTATGCTATGTTATCGGGGCGACGATGACGATGAAGATGATGATAGTACTGATGATGATGGCGATGAAAAGAAGGCTGATGATATTAAAGATAATAATAATGGTGATGATGATGACCGTTGAGATAGAAACGATGATTATGACGCCATGAATAATGATGATGACGATGATGATACAATGATGATGATGATGATGATGATGATGATGATGATGATGATGATGATACAATGATGATGATGATGATGATGATGATGATGATGATGATGATGATGATGATGATGATGATGATGATGATGATGATGATGATGAGATTTACTTTACCGATTGAGTGTAGGTGAAAACTGCTTTCATGTTATCATTATTGTTGTTATTATTATTATTATTATTATTATTATTATTATTATTATTATTATTATTATTATTAAGTGTGCATCTCCTTGAGAAGAGAAAGAGAGAGTGATTTGATATTTAGAGCGCTCAGCTTATTGGATGGATAGATGGATAGATAAACTATTTTTAGGTTTATGAAAAGATGGATGGATGAATGAATGAATGAATGAATGAATGAATGAATGAATAAGTGAGTGAATGAATTAGTTATTTTTATTATTTTTGATATACTTTACAAACGTGCCTATATCGACTTTAAGAGTACTCTAACCCTACAAACAGGCACGCCTGTGAGTTTTAAAATTATTTTTGTGTGTATACAAACACTACATACACATGTACTATTATAGACATAAAATATAAACTTATTCACACACACACACACATACATACACTCAGGTACACATACGTACACACATATATATATACACACACTCAGGTACACATACAGACACACATACATAAACACACACAAGCAAGCGTGCACCAAATTTTTTTCAGGTCAACGCGCACAATTTGAAATTGAAAACTGCAAATTAAGCTTTGGAGTGCAAGCAAAAGCAAAAGTATCGCATCGTGGGTATTTTACGTACGTATTTGTACTTGTACTTATGTGCGCAAAATGTACACACACGCGCGCATATACATTAACATTTATACGCATATTATACAATATTGATAGTTAAAAATTAGTAATATATTTTAAAAACAAATTAATATTGTAAACACGTGTAAAATAGGCAAAGGTAGGTAGGTAGGTGGGTGGGTAGGTAGGTAGGTAGGTAGGTGGGTAGGTAGGTATGTAGGTAGGTAGGTGGGTGGGTAGGCAGGTAGGTAGGTGGGTAGGTAGGTAGGTAGGTAGGTAGGAAGGAGCACTTCTAAATAACATCCATACAAAACATTGATGCTGTAGCAGTAAGAACAATGATAAAAAAAGAATAATAATAGTAAACGCACTAACAACAATAATAATAATAACAAAACAATAGCGATAATAATAACAATAACAATAATGAATCTATGCAAGAACCTGCTAACATGATACAAGTCAATCCAATTATAAAGGCAAAATACAAAATTTTCCATGCTCTCAATATATGCGCTATATAAATGTATACATTTTACGCTATATAAATACCTATATAGGCATAGGCGATGTACGAACATATGTAAAAGTTTGTGTATATACTTATGTATGATATGTATTCACACAAACATACACACACACACATACACCCACAGAAGACCAACACATAAGTATCAAGTATAATTACACACATACACAAATACTTGACAGAAGTATTAGGTGGAAATATACCGCAGTATATAGTTCTGGTATTTTTTCAATGCTTTATAAAAGCAGGGGTAGAAAATGAAAAAGAGATGAATGTTTATTTTTAGAAGATTTTGGCGCGTTTGTGTTTTCTAACACGGCACTATATCTTTATTATCTTTGTTTTTTATTGTTTTTCTTTATTAATTTTTTATTTTTCCATTTATTTTTATCGCTGTGCTTAAGTTTTGGGCTAGGCACATTTATAGTTTTGGTGTAGGTAGGAATGATGAGAAGTTAAGCTGATGTGTGCAATGTTATTTTTCTTCCAATCATTCTGTTTTATCGTTCAATTCGTTCAAGGATCATGTCTTTATCTTTCTCTCCGTCTGTCTGTCTATCTATCTATCTGTCAGCTCCCAATTATTCATTCTGTCTATCTATCTATTTATCTTACTAGATATTTAGATATCTAAATATGTTTGTCTATCTATCTATATTACTAGATATTTAGATATCTAAATATGTTTGTCTATCTATCTATCTTACTAAATATTTAGATATCTAAATATGTTTGTCTATCTATCTATCTTACTAAATATTTAGATATCTAAATATGTTTGTCTATCTATCTATCTTACTAAATATTTAGATATCTAAATATGTTTGTCTATCTATCTATATACCTATCTGTCTTCAATCTTATCTAACAGTTATAAGTATACATTTAATTCATTAATTTATTGATATTGTTTTCATTAAACGTTCTCTATGCTTTTAATTTGTGCCAGATTTAATTCAATACGACGATGATGATAAAGTATTGAAGTTTTCTTTTAAATAAATTTCAATCAACTGCGTTCTTAACGAATCCGATGAATGGGCGAATGAGTGAATGGATTGATGAATGAAAGGAGGAAAGAATCTTTGAATGGATGGATGAATGGAGAGAAATAGCAAGCAAATGGATGAATAAATGAGTGAACAAGGATAATTTGAGTTCACCCACATTTATTAGTCTCGCTTGGAGATGGAGTTAAATTTTTTTTATGGAGGAGTTTTTTCAGTGCTAATTTTAAAAAAGTTCTATTGGAAATTTTTTTTACCGCACAAATATTTCACACAATATAAAAGTATTATGTGCCATAATTTTTAATAATTTGCCTTTTATATATTATTATTATTATCAGTTATATAATTTGGATTTAAATTTTTTCTCTATGAATAATCATTCAATCATTCGCCAATTCCTCCATCAATCCATCCATTCATTCACCCATCCATTCGTTCATTCATCTATCCATTCATTCATCCAGTTTTTATATATAAATTATTATCAAATTCATTTCAATGTTTGATATATTTTCGTACGTTTTTGAAGTTTACAAGATGCTTAGTAAGAAGAAAGATTAATTGTTATATATTCAAACAGAAACCAGACACAAAAAATTTCAAAAATAATAAAATAATAATAGTAACAATACAAAAACATTTAATGATTTTAATTGATTAATAGTATTGATTGACGATATTTAATTAATTGTGATTTGAATTAATTTGTTTAATTGGTTCGTAGATAGCTTGCTATGTGTATTTGTTTCTAAATATAACACACACATTTGCACACACACACAAACAGAGAAATACACACACACAAACATGCATGTGCATTTATATGAAAAGCTTTTTTTAAAAAAAATAATAAAAAATTGTTGGTTATATTTTATGGATTGAGTCTTTCATTGAGAAATAGTTTAAAATTTAAATTGTATCAGTTCTTACATGTGTTTTCCCATAGATTTCGAATAATAATAATAACAACAACAACAACAATAATAATGATAACTATAATAATAATTATAACAAAAATAATAATAATGATAATTTATAAAAAATGCTAGAACAGAATGATTTTCGATGTTTCAGACTACATTGTAAAAACTGGTTTCCACAACTTCCACAACTACCATTACGACTCCTTAACAAATTAAACTACTGTTAAAATAATCATAAATGCATCTTATCGCGACAGCTACTGCAGTTTCTTCGAAACAAAATTAAGGTCAATATTTTTTAAATTAATTTGTAGAAAAGTAGAGAAAGAGAGAGAGAGAGAGAGAGAGAGAGAGAGAGAGAGAGAGAGAGAGAGAGAGAGAGAGAGGGAGAACGAGAGAGAGAGAGAGAGAGAGAGAGAGAGAAAGGCAGAGAGGGAGAGAATGAAAGAGAAAGAAAGAGCAAAGAAAAAATTAAGATAAAATGGACAAAGGAAGTCAAAATAGAGAAAGAAAGATAATTTAAATAGCCGAAATGTTAATCTCCACGCTTCCAATTATCGCCAGATTGTCATGGCTAGGAACATCTGGATGTAAGGGGTAACAAAAACGTGACATTTTAAATTTTTAATTCAAAACTAATGAATAATAAATTAAATTATTTATTTTATATTAGAATATATTTAAAAAAATCGAGATCACCACAAAACTTTCATATGTCGAAACTAATAATAAACGGAGCGTAACTGCAATCAAAAAACTGCCATAATATTAACACAACAAAACACAACAATAACATTATTAATATTAACGACAGTAACCTAACATCAATACATCAACATGATAGCAACACAACACAACAACAACGACATTAATAACAACATCATGGACTGCACTAACCCTTCCTTCAACGTGGTCACCACGTTCGGACATCGATCTCTCATCTTCGGACTGACCAGCCCCTTATAGAAGTCCCCCCTCTCCAGCTTGCACTCGCAACTTTCGTCGCACACCGCGGAACCCACCGGACATTTGCATGGTTTCTTGCGGCATCTTACACAAATTTCGCAATCATTTTCGGCTTTGTAGTCCTCGTCGACTCTTTTATTTTCATACTTGTAGGGTTCGTCATTGTGGCATTCGTGTTTGTTCTTCTTGACTTGGCGGTCGCTCGCGAAACAGTTTGATGTTGTGGCGGCAAAAGGGTCGAGTTCTGGACACGTTTGCTGGATTCGAATAACTTTCGCACTGCAACTGCAACCACCGTCGCCGTCGCTAGTCCTGTACGGTTTGTTGCACACGCTGCAGACGCTAGCCGGGTCGAAGTTGCTCATCTGATCGAAGCAGCTTCCGTTGCTGGCGTCCTGACTGCCTACCTTGCACCTGATGGACTCGACGACGTCAGCTGTCGGCGAGGAATGCAAGGAAATGATGCAATTTCTTAAAATTGAATGAAATTCTTATCGATATGCTTGTGATAATAAATTTTTCATCCCCTTACAGCTCCTTCCATTGCCATCTTTGTCATCGTCCTCACATTCATCTCCATCATCCTCCTCTTTCTCCTCCTCTTCCTCATCATCATCCTAATCATCATCATCATCACAACCACCACCATCATCATCACCTCACCACTTACGATCAAATTGATCCGGATACTCCGTCATGAACTTGAGAACGTATTTGTCGGCGTCAATGATCCGGAACTTCCTCGAATATATCTCTATGACGGAGCCTATCTTGAAATCCTGCAATAATAATAATAATAATAATAACGCATGACACAAACATGAACAGCTGCAAGATTCAAAATAAAATGAAAAATTGACTCGAGAAATATTATAATTGCATTCAACGCCAGAATAACTAAATAATTACTTAACTACCTAACTATCTAATTACCCACTCACGCTATTAATTAATTACTTAATTGATCAATTAATTACTTAATTGATCAATTAATTATACCTAAATCAATTATACTTTTATTTCAATCACATATCAAATCTAATGGAATAAACCAACGTTGGGTCCATAGAATTCTGGCTCATCAACACTAGACGAAGGTTTACGTATTCTGGAGCGAGCCAGGAACGTGCCGCCAATGAATCCGGAATTTGGCTGCTCAGTTTCGTACACGTTCACCAAATCCCCCGAAAGACTGTACGATAGGACGAAACGTCTGCAACTTTCTATCGGAGTAGGGTTATGCTGTCGGTTGTCGGTGGTCAAGTTTTAGAGTTAATTTACTCGAATTTGGAAAAAAAATTTTATTTGTGTAGCTGATTTTCTAAAATTGGCCTCAAAATTAATGTAATTTTGTGGTGTTCTTGTTATCTCGTTATTGCTGTCATCGTAATTACTGCTACTGTACCATCATCTTTATCTATTATCCTCTTCATCACCACACTCGCACTCAAATAAGCCTAATCACACACTCAAACAAATTATAACGCCAACCATTAGCCCTGCTCACAACAACAATTTGAAATGGCAATCAATCGACATCAAACGAATGATTTAACAACTATTTCAAAAAATGAGTCTAAATGTTTTTGGAAAAATCACCAGACTAACCAGAGTCATAAGGTAGCGAAGAACAACGCCCTGGTAGTTCAGCATCTTGCCGTAATCCTTTTTTGGCGCGTTTGGGATGGAGTAGACATTTTGCATGGAATCATCTAGAGTTCCGTGCAAGTTCCATGGCGGTATGTCCTGTGCGTACGTGTGAGTGTGTGTGTGTGTACATTTGTTAATGTTTTGTCGCAGACCATCATTTATCCACAAAGCTAAACAGTAATTAATGTAATCTAGATTGAGTAAGTTCTAAAATTCTCTTCAATAATAACAACTGAAAAATGTCAAAATTTATCGCAAGAAGGCAATTCACTTTGGTCCTCAGAGTTGGATACCGAACGCTGATATCCGCCGGAGTGAAGTCAGTGATCCCGAAATTTTTCCAATAATAAGCTTTGGTGAAGTCGTCGCAGTTGTAAAGCAGAATCGGTCTATTGTACACTTGCACTGTTTTCCCGATCCCAAAATCTTTGGGACTGAAATATTCTTTAACCTAAAGGTGATGATGATTTGAGTAATGTGCATTTTCAAATAAGCTGCTACGTAAAGTGAAACTATAAAATTCAAATCGGGGCGTCAAGAAATATTTTTTGAATAATTAGTTAAACAATACAATGACGGACACAAAACTAGGAGCGTAAACTCACTTCCATTTCAGAGAGTTCAAGAGTGCCCCAGTTAAAATCCGGATGAACGTCGGATCGATCCTTTGGGATTTTGTGCCTGCTGACGATGAATGGGAAGAGGTCCCTGCCGTCATTTTGATGATGGATCTCCTTCACGTCCATTGTGTCATCGCTCAGGTAGAACTGCAGGCGTTTGTAAATATTTAAAAGCCCCATTGACGCAGCGAAAATTGCGCTGTATGAGTTGCAGTAAATGGTGATTGAATGCATCCATAAATGTTTGTTAAATTTTAATTATTTTAATAAACATACTGTCGGCGGGCTTTTTTGGATTAAATTATAAAATCAAGCAAATATAAATTTTTAAAATAAAAACAAATTATATAACTAAAAACAAACAAAACCACTTAGCAGGACTAACATGCTACAAAAACTAAACGATATGAAAAGATTAGACGGCACCAATGAAACCATAAAAAAACGTTGGACAGTTTGAAAGCACCTGCAGGACAACGGTTCTCAGGTGCTTGTGGAACTGATCATTATCGTCCCAAATGCCGTAAAATCTCAAAACTTTCCGGTCATTTTTGAGAAACTTGCACAACTTGATGCACTCCTTGGCTATGCAAGGGTCCGGATCAGCGGGCCTCATCTCCAAGCACCTCCTCATCTCCGTATACGGATCTTTTGGCGGACATTCGGGACATCTTACTTCTATTCCCTGGCTTTCTAACCAGTCCTGGCAAATTTTAAAAATAAATACTTAATGTTAGAGAAATTATTTAAACTGTTAACATTTGAAATACTGATAACTCGACGTTGAAAAACCAAAAAATTAGAGTAAAAAAGAAAATAAAAACAATTTTTTTAAAAAACAAATGAACCAATTACAAAAAAACCAACCCTTGTTGAAGCGTTGTAATCGTAAATATGCATGACCTTTCCAAAGAGGTTGACGTTGGTGCCAACGTTCAAATCATTCCACGTCCAAATCCCGCCAGCATCATTCTTCGGTATCTGACGCCTGCTTATGAATGTGCCTACAAAGAAACCAGTTAACTATGTCTTCCAAAAAATATACACGTAAGGTAGCGTAGATCTAACTTAGAAACTAATTTGTCAGAAACTAGAAAAATAATTTTATGAAAGTGCATTCTTGTTTGAACTTTGAACCTTGAGGAAAGCCGCTGTTGACAGATTTTTCTTCCTCCACAGAAATGCTGTCATCTTCCAAATAGTAATACAAATTTAAGAAACGTACTCTGTATGATTCAGTTGGACATTCGTATATCGTCTCCTTGAACCAGCATTTGAAACCTAAAACCTATTTTTTAAATTTTGTTACATGCCTTTGACAAAAAAAATTAATTTAGCAGGCTAGAAATCATATATATATATATATCAATACAAAACAGTACCAAGAGGGATTTAAGACATTTGAACGTTAGTTAGACAAGCACTACACCATGCACACAGAAAATATGATAATGTTTATGTTATGAACAGTTTCGCAAGCAAATCAGAATGCAGCAAAAACAACGTGTGACATGGCAATTCTGCCGTCCAAGCCAACTCGCCGACAGATTTTAAAAAAATGCGGTCAAATAAGAATACCTTTTTGTCCAGTTCAACAAACGAAGGCTGAAAAGCAGAAGGAGGGCATTCTTTGGCCTGTCCATAGGTCAGCACAGGATTGTAATTCATCAAAAGATCTAGTTCACTTTCATTCAAGACATTGTAATCAAGCAATGTTTCGCCGCCAATTTTGAAACGGGGCTGTTTCGGAATGGCGAACCCATTGCGATATCCCAGAGTTTGACATCGATGGTATCGATTTTTCTATTCATGAATTAGTTAAAGAACAAGTGGATAATGACATGAAATACATAAATCAACAAAATTATTGCGTTCATTAAATTTAAAAAGAAACTAATAGATCATTTCAAAATATAACAATGTCTGTCTCATAATACTGACTTTCAGTTTTTAGAGAAAAACGTTAATGAAGAATATGCAAAATTTTGTAAAAATAGTCAAAATAGCATAAGTAAAATCATTAAAACAATAATTAATAACAACCGTTTAATAGTTAAATCGGAAATATAGACAAATATAACAAACGAAAGTATACAAAACCGTTGGATCATTAAAGTTATATCCGGGAAGAAGAGGAAGATTTTGCATATTTGTAAAAGATTAACTTTTTATGAAAACTTTTCAAACACTCGCTGCTTTCAAATTTGAATTCAATCGATATTATTTTTATCACTCTACACGATCAACATCAATTTGAATAAAGTAAATACAAACACGATGACATCATTAATAGAAAACCACTTTGTTCATTTTAATAGTAAAAAATTATCACGTAATAATTGATATTAAAGCTGAAACGTGATAAAATTCAACCCATAAAACATATATTAAAATTAGATTTTCAAGGTTTATTCAACAAAATTTAAATAAACTTTTGTCATTTAACTACCGCTGATAAACATTGCGGAAGTTACTTGTACCCGTGTTGTATTTTTTTTTTTCATAAAATTGCAGAAATGTTTTTAAATTAGAATTCCGACTTTTTGATGATTAGGGAAATGAATTTTTTTTATAATTCCTAATTTGCAATTATGCGCGATGTTTTTATTAGTGAATTTTATGAAATTTGGTTATTATATTAGTTCAATTTCTCAAAGCGTTTTCCTCTGTTTTACTGTATTGTGACAAGAAAGGACGTTTTTTAGTTTCTTTCTCTAATTGACTGGGTTCTTTTTTTGTTAGGAATTTTTCGTGATTTAACTAATTTTTAATGTGTTTTAAAAGGCAAGCATTTTCTAAGAATAAAATATAACAGTGTGTAAAATATTACCCAAATCAAAGTGAAAAAGAGCTACTTAGTGCTACCTACAAACAACTCATTCATAATGGAAAAATCAGGACAAAGCTGGTTGTGATCAGTAATTAAACATTGAGTATAACAACATTTCATTTTAGATTTCAGTCAGTTACTACTTTATACTATAATAGATAAGAAGTACAGTAAAAGTAGTTAAGAAGAACTAGTATTATTTCTGCTTTTTGTAAAAAGCATTTCGAATTAAAATACAGTTTTGTTTATTTATTGATGACGTAATTAGTCAGAATTAATAATTTAGTTGACTGATCAGTAAAAACTTATTCTGACTGACTATGCATCCTAGTCCCTTCCAGTCATCTGGAAAATCAGCTGGCAACCAGATGTCATCATCCAACCTGTCAGTAGGGAGGGAGAGCCTCAACAGTTCAGATGGGGGACAGCTGATACAACAGCCGGTACAAAGTTTCACATTATAATAATTTATTCATTATTCATACTGATGATAATTTTATTAAAATTTTACATACATTTAAGAAATATTTTTCAAAAATATGTAACAGCAAAGCAAATATTTCAAGAATTTACTTTTATTTCATGTTTTACAGACAAACATAATATCACATAGTAAAGATGCATCACATAACATAGCAAAGTTATTTCTCAATTTAATAGCTCACACACACACACATACACACACACACACACACACACACAAAAACTAATATTAGTACAGATGCATTGGCAGTATGTAATACATCTTTGACACATGCACCTCACAGTATAATAATGAGCTTAGATTTATATATATATATATATTGTATATGGTATAAGATATAGTAGATATATATATATAATATGTATGTGTGTTTGTATGTACATTATATATATATATATATATACATACATAAACATATATATATATAGTCATGGGTTTTCCATTTAATTTGATGATTACTCTACAGTTCCTAATTAATTTCTATGATAAGCCATTTAGTTTGTTTATGTTTGTGTCTTTACAGATATAAGCACACATACACCAACATACACATACACACACCATACACATACATACATACATACACACACACACACACACATACATACACACATACATCTATATAAATTTGTTCTTCATGTGATTATTTTTCATTCATTCTATTAGAATTTTATTTTCTGAGAAGCTGATAGGGCAATGCTGTCTATATATTTGTTTTAAATTTATTTAACATTTCTCAGTTTATTCTTTTTTTTATGGATGGATGTATAACTTGCTTCAATCAATGAGTTTTAGGATTTTCAAAGTGGTTTTTCTTCAAATATTGATTGTAATTTAAATAAGTTGTTGCATTAATAAAATTTCGATGTTAAATTTCTGAAATATTGAATGGAATTAATGGATTTCATAATAAATTAATATTTTCATTGAACTTTTTTTATTATTTTAATACTATCTTAAAAACAACTACGCCAAAACTTTTATTATAAAACATAGAAATAGATAGATATAGACAATTCACGACGGTAAAAAATTTTAATTAAAAAAATTGAAATTAGATTGATGTTGCCACTCCATTCTCGAACACATCCGGCAACAACATCAGCTCTATTGGTGGTGGGGGCTATGCATCTCCCGATCTGCAGAATTCCGACTTCACGGACGGAAGCTTCCCCTCGACGCTCAACTCTAAAGCTAGATCTGCCATCGAACAATTGCAAGTTAAAATTGGGAAAACCCAGCAAAGAATTAAGCTGGAGCAAAATGCTAAGGAAGGTAAGTTGGTAGTTTTCCTATTAGATATGAAATTTTTCTTTTAATGGTATTGGATTTTGTGAAATTGTATCGGATTAATTTTTTGACAATACTGGTAAACATTTTATAAATTTTTATTTTTTTCTTATCTACACATCTTTACACGCACATACACACGTGCACACACACACACAGACACACACATAAACACACAGACAGACAGACACTTAGAGGTACACATAAACTATCCCTACCCAATCCACCAGATAATGTGAATGAATATCTCAAACTGTCAACTGATGCCGACAAGCAGCAGTTGCAGCGAATAAAGGCAGTCTTCGAGAAGAAAAACATCAAGTCAGCCCAGGCTATAGCACACCTTCAGAAGAAATTAGAAGAATATGACAGAAAATTGAGGGAGATTTCACTACAGGGTACCACTGCCATCCACAAAGGTTCCAAAGGGGTTCTAAAAGATGTCGGCCAAGGATTAAGGTGGGGCTATTTGTGATTTCTGATTCTAAAACTGTTTAAAGAATTCAATTGCTTCACGTTTTAATTGAATTTTTACAAACTTTATTGGATGTTACTGTGTGATTTATTGAGATATCTGAGTAATTAAATTGTTAGTCCATCCAATCAGCTCTCTCCTATTTGACATTATTTGTCTATTTAAATTAATGCTGGCTCTAAGATATCTTATTGGGCAATGGGATATTTATTTATATTTTGGTGTCCATGGAATATGTTTTATGTGGGAGTATTTTGTTAAATTTATTTTTGATGTTTTTTTTCAAATTTTTTTAGTGGTTAAATTAATCTAAGAAAAATTGATTTATTTAGTCATTCATTCATTCATCAGTTATTCGCACATTCTGTCAATCAAATGTTTTGTTTATTCGTCCTCCGAGACTCATTTGTACCATCCTTCTATCCGTTAATCAGTCAATTAAAATCACCAGCAGTCATTCATTCATTCATCCAGTTAATCTATTCGTCTAGTCATGTAATAACGCCATGTGATTCATTTCGTTGGTTCATTCGCTCATTTATTCAATCATTCATTTATTCTTTCATTAATTCATTCATTCATACGCTAATTATTTCCTTCTTTCCATCTGCCCTCTGAAGAGTGTTGTTTGTAAGGGACCCTACGAGATCTCGAGATGCTAGCCCATCCACATCCACGTGCGATTTTTTAATTTAATCTCATTGGTTAATTAATTAATTAATTAAAATTTGTTTTTTCATTAGTTTTTAATGAATAATTAGTTAAATCTAATTAAACTAACTAATTAATACTGCTATTTAGTAGGATTGGCTATTCATTAAATTAAGCTAGAAGCGTCTTTTTTTCGTTTATTTGTGTTTTTTATTTTTAAAAAGCCAGATGTTTTTCTTCACTTTTTTGGCTTCCTCTCGATTTTATTTTTTTTTTTTAACAAAATTCTTCTTTTATTTTAATAATATTTTCAAATTTTTGGGTTTTTCCTAGCATGCAGTTGAAAAGTAGGAATGCTGCTACATTGTTAGTTTCACTTTCGTTTTGCTTTTATTTTTGTTGTTATTATTATTTGTATTGTTTAGTTTCACCTGCTTATGCATAGAATGTTTGGTAAATTTTGAAAAAAAACTATTATCTTAGAGATTTTATATTGATGGCTTACCTTGTTAATAGCTTTATCTGGGAAAATCCTTTTTTTTCCCATATAATCCCATTAATAACATTATATTGCTTTTAATATGCGTGTGTGTGTGTGTGTGTGTGTGTGTGTGTGTGTGTGTGTGTGCACATTTATTTTATTTAATTCTTTATAATTAATATAAGCAGGTATTACCCTGAGCATTTGACTGGACTAATTGAAGATTAACTTGCATAACAGATTAAAATAATAATAATTATGACCTACCATAATAAATAATAATTATAATAATAATTATACTTATAATTAATAATAATAATAGGCCTGGTGTTTGGAAGACCAAGGATAGCCACCATGCATTTAAGAACAGATACGGTAGCGCTGACAACATCACATCTAGTCTAAGTTTGTATATGTGTGTGTGTGTGTGTGTTTCTGTCTGTACGTTTATGTATGTGTATTATTATGTGTATGTTGTGTATTATTATGTGTATGTTGTGTATTATTATGTGTATGTTGTGTATTATTATGTGTATGTGTATATGTTTGCATTTGTATCTTTGCAACTATTTAACTATTTTTTGGTTTAGTTTTTTTTTCATTTTTTTCATTCTATAAATGAATTTTGATGTCATAAAGATATACAAATGACAGCACACGCACTCACACACACACACACACAAACATACGCACATATACACTTACAGAAGTGTATGATGTTAATTCAATCAATAAATTTTTATGCGTTTGGATAACATGCAAAGTAGTGCTAGATGCAAATTATTTTAACGGGTTTTTATACAGTAAAAAAAGTTTAAATTAAAACAGAGCTAGCTGTTTGTGTTAACAGTCATGTTTAGATTTGTGGTGTTCTTGGTCCATTTAAACACACAGACACACGGATACAAGTACATTTAGACATTTAAACCTGCTATAAGAGAGAGAGAGAGAGAGAGAGAGAGAGAGAGAGAGAAAGGAAGGAAGGGAGAGCGAAAAAAGGGAAGATACAAATAAAAATTATTTTAATAATTTTATTTTAATAATTTTAATAAAATTATTTTAATAAATTTTATTTTACTACTGAATTACTTCTTTTAATTGATTTAAAATTGAATTATTTATGTAAAATACCCTCCCTATGTTAAGGTATGTTAAGTGTGTGCCCTTATGTATGTGTACAAGTGTGTGTGCATGTGTGTGTGTACATCATACATGACTCAATTAAACTTTGTTTGCAAATCTTTTGGAGAGCTCAGCTGACAGATTTGTTTGTTTAATTAAAAATTCAATGTTAAGGTCAATGACCATGAACAAACTTTGAGGGAAAGAGAGAAAAAGGAAGAGAGAGAGAGAGAGGGGGGGGGGAGAGGGAGAATATTTAACAAATGGTGATACATATGTTAGGTATATATGATCGATATGACGCCAAAACATTGTGCAGCAGACGAAATAGCAATATACCGAAAGGATTGGAATTTAAACGGAATAAAACCGTTGTTTGTACTAAACAATATTCTCATAAATGAAACACATATCTAAACACATGTGCAGTGTACACGTAACGTACAAGCATACAAAATATACACACGTACACGCACACATAAACACACGCGCGCGCAAACACACACACACACACACACACGCTCACATATATTCAGAATTATCTCATCATGAACTGCCGATATGTAGAGATGATCAGCCTATCAATGCCATTACCACCATCAGGTGACTAATGTTATGGTTTTTTGAATGTTATTGTTTTTTGTTGTTGTTTTTGTTGTTATTATTGTTATTATTATTATTGTTGTTGTTGTTGTGGCTATTCTTTCTGTTTTTTTACAGATCATAAGTTATTATACTTGTCCTTGTTAGTTGTTTTGTTCTTATTCCCACAGTATAATTGCGTTGACATTGCTTTTTATGTTTGTGTGTGTGTTTGTGTGTATGTTTGTGTGTGTGTTTATATATATATATATATATATATATATATGTGTGTGTGTGTGTGTGTGTGTGTGTGTGTGTGTGTGTGTGTGTGTGTGTGAGTTTCGTGCATTATTCTTGCTTGGTGTAATACAGCCAGTGGCTAATATAACAAGCTGGAATAATGTTTAAAAAACATCACCAATATCATAATTATTACCAACTAAACTTTTTGATAAATCATTCATTCATTTATTCATTCATTCATTCATTCATTCATTCATTCATTCATTCATTCATTCATTTATTCATCAATTCAATCATTCATTCATTCAATCAATCATTCATTCCTTTATGAGATATGGTTTCTACATTTAAAATTTAATATTTTTTTCTCAAACATCTTTATTTTTAAATAAAATGCGCGTTTAACCAGCATGCTGTTTTGTTTTGGTGATTAAATGATAATGATGGTGATGACGAAGATGGTGGTGACAAATATTATTATGATGTATCAGCGTTTTGTAATGATGATAAAGATCATCATTCTGATCATTTGATCATAATCGTTTTGTGCTCATCTTCGTCGTCATCGTTCCCATCATCTTCACACTCACCCTTCACGTCATCATCCTCATCATTTTTACGTCCAAAATCATCTTCATCACCATCCTCTTCGTCATCATCATCTTCCTAATCATTTTCATCATTATCTTCTTCATCATCACCTTCATCATCACATCATCGCCAGAGACCCATCTGACGATGACATCTCCAGTTGCATATCCGACAGTCTAGCCAGTGGCGAGTGCTACGGAGCCGCGAAACGATCCTCAACAAAGTTCCACGAAGCCTATCTCAACCAATCCTCTACAGCAGTTCCCACCCAATCCAGTGTTAATCCCTCTAATCCCAACAATCTTCAATCTTCCTCCTCTGCCAACAACTCTCCAATCGTTAATCTCACGTCACAACAGCAACGACTTCAGCTACAGCAACGACTACAGCAGCAACAGCATCAGCAGCTGCAGGACGACAGCTTAAACGATGAACAACAGCAGCAGCAGCTAGCAATCATGCAAGCGAAAGATCTGGCCACCATCATCACCAATTTGACTGAGTTTCAAGAGATGCAGTACAAGTTGCATTGTTCTGTCAGTACGTTAAAGGTAGTTTATTTATCATCACTTGTATCATCTTCATCATATTTTATTCGTTGTCATCACCCACCACTATTTCATCATCATCGTCGTCAACTTCATCATTGTTATCAACGTTACATCATCGTTATGAGTGTCACAATTTTTTAGCTCTAATTTTGTCCGTTGTCATTCATTCATTCATTCAATCATTCATTCATTCAATCATTCATTCATTCAATCATTCATTCATTCATTCATTCATTCATTCATTCATTCATTCAATCATTCATGGCCACGATGCAGTGAATGTATGAAACCGACAATTACACATGTATAATTATGTCTCATTGATGTAATTACTAACAGCAGGCCTGAGTGTTGTGTATGTCCATACAAGCTATACTATCGAGTAATTTTAAGTAGCATCAGCTGTCTTTATTATTGTTGTTGTTGTTGTTATTAATTATTGTTGTTGTCTTTAATCTGTGCTTACAGACTGAACAGCACTGAATAACAACTCTCACATGTGTTGTACAGTACACACACATGTGTTTCCTCTCCAAACTTTCTTAAAGATTTTTCACTTTTCTTAATCACCTGAAATGGTATCACTCTTGTACATAGTTTTTTTTCCCCCTCTCTTAAGGAATTTATTTTCTGTTTTTCTCCAGATTTGGCTATCTATGTTTACTTCGCAGTGTTCGTTTAAATTTTTTTTCTTTTATCTCTACTTTTGTCTTTCTCTCTCTTTCTCTCTCCTCTCTCTCTCTCTCTCCTCTCTCCTCTCTCTTTCTATGTCTGTCTGTCTTTATCTCTCTTCTCTCTATTACGTCGTTGTTTTATCTTTTATCACTTCCTGTTTATCTTTATTTGTTTAATTTGTCTATCAAATCAGCCATTCATTGGCACGTGCATAAATTAGTTCATCAAACCATCTTCAAACCATCCATTCATCTCTTCCTCTGCCATCCATTCATCCATCCATCCATCCATCCATCTAACTATTCACTCATCCATACACTGATCCATCCATTCATCCATACACTGATCCATCCATCCATTCATCCATCCACGAACAGACCCAGTTGGATGAGGAGGGCATATTCTGCAGGCAGGCCCTGGAGGAAGAGCACGACAGATGTGAGAGGCTGGAGGAGCAGATCAACGACCTCACCGAACTACACCAGAACGAGATGTACAATATCAAGCAGGTTGGCGGTGGCCTGTGGTGGCTGTGGTTGTTAGTTTTGATGATGATGGCCATGGTGGTGATGACGATGATGGTGGTGATTGTGATGATGAGGATGAAGATGGTGATAATGATAACGCTTCCACCACCAGGAAATGGTAGGGATGCAGGAAAAGATGGAGTACCAGCTGGAGGAGAGGACAAGGGATATTCAAGAACTTCTACTCACTTGCCAAACTAGGGTACTCTACACACACACACACACACACACACACACTCACTCACTCACACACACTCACACACGCACATTTTTTTTCTTTCTCGTACACACATACAGACACACTTTTTCTCTACACTCACACGTACACACTCACACGTACACACACACACGTGCACGTTCAACAACAGATCAACAAGATGGAGTTACAGCAGCAGCAGCAGCAGCTGATATCAATGGAGGGCATAGAGAACACGAGCTTCAGAGGGCTGGCCACCAAACTTATAAACATCGTCCTTGCCGTATTGGCCGTCGTTCTCGTCCTTGTGTCCGAGGTTGCTAACCTCATTGGCCCATTCCTACAGACTAGGTAGGGCTCTGTGATTTTTCTTGTTTTTATGGAGTTTGTTGCTGTTGTTTTTGTTGTTGTTGTTGTGTTACGTTTAGTTTTTTTTTTTTTTTTAAAGTAGATAATATTAATTGATGTTTATGTTGTCAATTAAATTCTGACTGGTTAATTAATTAATTAGTTAATTGATGTAGTATGTGCACTGCACAGCACATGTGCACTATTCGTCTGTAGTCATAATTTGCTATGCATCACCATGCAAGTAGTTTAGAGAGGGATGAATGAGATAAGAGTTTCAATGATTGGGTGTGTCCTGTAACGTGTTTGTGTTTGTTTGTTGTGTTGTTTGTTGTATTGTTTGTCGTAGTTGTTGTTGTGTTGTCTGTTGTTTATGACTTTAATACTGACTTTAAGAATTTAAGATTTAAAACTGAATTGATATTGACTTTAAGATTTTGGGGAAATAATTAAAAAAAAAGAATGAATGAATAAAATTTATTAAATGATTTTTTTTCCAATTATATTTGAAAGGCTAAGAATTGTCGGAACGGCTCTGCTGGCGAGTCTGTTGGCCATCTTGTGGAATCGACGACTGGATCTGTCGGATCTTCTTGATAGGTTTTCTCTATTTGGAAATGGCACTCTTTCCTCCTCCAGTTTCTGAAAAAAGGATGCTTTCATCATCTTCATCATCATCTTCATCTTCGTCATCATCTTCATAATCATCATTCTCTTCATCATCATACTCATCATCTCCTTCATAATCATCTTCATCATCATCATCTTCATCATCATACTCATCATCGTCATAATCATTATCATTTTCTCTGATCATCATCATCATCTTCATCATTAACATTTTTTTTTCAACCATGCGTTTTTCTTTTTTTGCCAGTGCCATCATCCATTAATCCTCTCGGCGTCATCTTA